CTCTCTCATCATTGATGTTCCTCTCTCTCTCTCTCTCTCTCTCTCTCTCTCTCCCTCCCTCTCTCTCTCTTCCTCTCTGAAATCAATAAAAATATATTTTAAAAAATAATTATTATTACTTCTTCATATTCTGGAATAAAGCATCCTATTAAAACTTATATAATTCACAAGCATACTATTGGGAATGCCTTGGTAAATGCAATACATATTTCTCAGCACATTTGTTTATAGTCAGTATGATAATTTTGGTGGCACCCACTATGACACTGCTTCTTTCAGATATCGGAGCTACTGATCCACAAGCTCAACCAGAACTCGGTGCACTTTGAGCTGAAACCCGGGATCCAAGTCCTCGTCCACGCAGCACACTTAACAGCAGGTCAGTTTGCATGTCCCCTCTCTTTCCTAGTGGCTCTAGTAAAGGGGATTCTCAATCCTTTTATCATAACAAGTCTATATGGTGCTTCTCCTTATCAGAAAGGCAACAGAATAAAGTGCATTTTCTTAGTCCTGGTGAAAACCAATAATGATTCACCTAAATACATACTCCTCAAATAATAGCAAGTTTTATCTGAACAGAAATCTTAAAAATAAAGTTAATTCTACAAATAATATTTTTTCCTGGTATTTCTGCAAAACCATATTTTCAAATTATTCATGTTACAAATATTTTTTTAAAGTTTTGAGATACAGTAGTCAGTGGAAATACCTGGGACTTAGCAATTGTACAGGGCTGTAGCCAGGAATTGAATCCCAAGTTGGTCATGATCTTACAAATTAACTAATGTCATTGAGTTTCTGTCTCTTCACCTATAGAAGGTAGGAGGCAGAAACCCTCTTCCTAAGGCTATATAGAAGTCTCAATGATAATGCAGGTAATCCCATGTAAATAGAAATAGCTATCATTGGTTGTATCAATACTAAATTAAATTAATATTTATTGAGTACTTATTTTTGCAAATTACTTTGCTGGTACAGTAGGAAATGATCTTTGTCCCCAAAATACATATGATCTGGTTGTGATGGGGGCAAAGTTTGCTGTAGCAGTGGTGGTGGTGCTCTGGAGTCGGGGGATGGGCAGTGGTGGGGTATTTCAGTGAGTAACGTGCCTACATGCTCAGGTAGGGAGGCAAAAGGGCATACTTAAGCACTTAGAGTTTTCAATCTTGCAGCCAGACCAATGGTTTTCATCTTGGCCCCATCACTGACTCACTATATAGAACTTGAGAAGAGACTTTATTTCTCTGGGCCTTAGAGATGGCAGTAGCACCTATGTCAGTGGGATTGTGTGAGAATTGCATTAATTTAAGTAATGCACTTAGAGTAATGTCTGGCAGATAGTAAGCTATTGTGTGTGTTTTCGTTTTTACTCCTTATATTATTAACAAAGATGTATAGGAAATGTAAATCAGAAATAAATTATACCCAGTCAAAATGATACCGGATAGGATCTTGGAGAAGGTGGATGAATGGTTAGGATTAAATGCCAGAGAAATTCCAAGCACCAAAGCACCAAGGAAGGAACATGGAATAAGTGGGGACAAAGAGCAAGAGTTTCCAACTTTAGTCTCTGGTTTCCTGGAGACTCTGGAGCTGTGCCTAGGTCTATAGGAAGGCCAAGAAGGTTGGCCTCTTTTCTTTTTATATTGTATCTTTTCTTTTTATTATGATTTCATAATTTTTGTTAAAAAATAATCCCTCTGCCTTAAAAGAATGAATATTTAAAAGTCACTATTCCTGCCAATCTGGTGTGGCTCAGTGGTTGAGCGTTGAACTATGAACCAGGAGGTCACAGATTGATTCCCAGTCAGGGATGGATTGATTCCTAGTCAGGGCACAGGCCCAGGTTGTGTGCAGGAGGCAGCCAATCAATGACTCTCTCTCTCATCATTGATGTTTCTCTCTCTCTCTCTCCCCCTCTTCCTTCCTCTCTGAAATCAATGATAACAATTTTTAAGTCAATCTTCCTAAGCATGGGATATGGAGGTAGAGTGTGGAACTCTGCCAGGCTTGGCAGTGTATACTTCCTTTGCTGGGCTTTGGGAAGGCTAAGAGACCTTTGAGCAGAGGTATGGCCGATTCTGAGAGTCACTTGAGGAAGATGACTCATAAGAGGAAGGAGGGCTGAGTCAAGTTGATTTGTTATTCTACAGCTTGCTATCCTAATGCATCCAATGAACAGACATTTATTGAGTGCCTGCCTGCTCTGAGCCAAGCAGTGTTCTCTGAATGGAATAGTCTCTGCCTTCATGAAGCTTCCATCACAAGGGAAAGCTGGGCAGGAAGCAAATTAACAAATGTCATGTTTTGAATTATATTGCTGATGAAAATGCCCTGAAGAAATAAAGTGTAAGAAATCAGAACTATTAAGTAGCCCCTACTAGACCAACCCCTTAGCTAAAGGTCTGCCTACTTATCTCAGGGCATTTGATGATCTAACTTGGCCGTTTCCTACCAAGAAGGTTGACCTTTGGCCTTTGGTGAATAGTGGTGACTGACACATGACTGTTACACATAGCTGGTTAAAGCGAATGAACAATGTCCAGAAACATCATGCTAATAGCCATGCCACTGACAACTTTTGTCAAATCAGTAGAAAGTAACTACTTGCGATAGTTTTAAATGGGTTTACTGCACTGACCTGTGTGTCTCAGTGGTTAGAGCGTTAGCCTGCAGACCAAAGATCATGGTTTTGATTCCCGGTCAAGAGCACATACCTGGGTTGAGGGTTCGGTCCTTAGCCCCAGTAGGGGCACATGTGGGTAACCAACCTATGTGTCTCTCTCACATCCATGTTTTTCTCTCTTTCTCTTCCTTTCCCTCCCTCCTTTCTATTGTCTCTAAAAATCAATGGAAAAAATATCCTTGGGTTAGGATTAACCAAAAAACAAAAGGTTATTTGTTTATTTAATTTAAATGATGGTCCAATCTGTTTAGGGGGAAGACTGAACCTCATCTACTTCATCGCTTGGGAGGCAAAATTTGCTTTACAGCATGCTCACCTTCTAAATAAGCACTGTCTTCAGGCAGTATATTTTGCTTTCAGCTGGGTGCCTTGATTTCTTAGGAAACACTCCCCTGTTGTTTACCAGGGGCCTTTGTTAGAAAGGGGAGCATCACAGATCAGAATAGAGACCTAACCTACTTTCCCAGTCTATCATTCTGGAGGCCACTAACATTTCATTTGTTTCTTCTCCCAAACCTCTCGTCTATCAGTTATGTTATGTGCCTGGTTTTTATTGACCTCATTCACATCACATTCCAAAGATGGTCAGATGGTCAGATGATGTTGCTGAATTTGAAATCTTATCTCAAATGTTTCTTAAGGATGCTTTCCTATAATGACATCTGGCATAGAGCTGTGATCAAGCTGAAAAATAAGAATAAAAAAGTAGGTATTTAATTGAAACTAGTTTGGCCAGTGGCTTGGCCAGAGAAAGGGATAGAGCAAAGTCATCCATGAATCCATGTGGGAGAAAAAGCCCATTCCCCATAGCAATGACAGGTTTATTGTTATTGGTTTAAGCTCCAGGTGGCAAGGAATAATGCAAAATTTGGAAGATCTGGAAAATTTCCCTAACTAATGTTCATAGTTTATTCCATAGTGGGGAATTTGGAGAGCAGGGCTCAGATCTCTGGGAATAAGGACCGGCCAAAGGGAGGGATATTTCTGGGAGCTCAGGTAAGCACCCTGAGATTTGAATGAGAGCCCCCTGCAGTTTAGATATGTATGATGTGAGGTTGCCAAAGAATAAGGCAATAACAATACAGTTCAAGGCAGAAGCCCAATCTTAAACGGGGCCAATTTGGATAGAGTGAGAAAAATATTTGATTTCCAACCATTGTGGCTGTTTGAGGCTCTTCCCTGTTAGATTTAATAGTAGGACCTTTTGGCGTTGTAATTCCCAACCCAATCAACTGGCTTATTGAGCTTCCTGTTATGACTGGCTCAGGGTCTGGAGTAGATGTAGACTTGTATTGGAATAACTAGCTCTAGTTAGAAGAGTAAAGGAAAAGAATGTGAAGGGCTGACTCAATAACTTGGTCTTGGAAACTTCTGTTATGTTGAGTTTAGCCATGCTTGTCATAATAGTGTTAGAACTGGTGGTACCCACAGGTACCAGCTCACTCAGCCAGACTTCTATATACTAAAGACAATGTTTGTGTTAAGATTAGTATTTCAGTAATTGTGATAAAGAAGTAAAATATATGTGGGCCAAGTTGTCTGTTGGAGATTGTTACTAAGTTGGCTGCAACTGTATGATTTTTTTAAAAACTATTTGAACAGGGTGGTAGAGTATATCTACTGAGACAGTGGAGGGAGTTCCTTTGTACATAGAAGCTTGGCATGTGGGGTGGGGGAGTCAGTGCATTGAGACACTTGCCACAATTTCTTTTATTAAGTTAAAATGAACACATTCCTATTTATGGGTAGGAAGAAACCTGGGGAAAAGAAAAAACGAGGAAGAGTATTTGATGCAGATCTTTCACCTCAGTTACCTTTCCCTTCTTCTTTTCCTCCTGCAGCAGGCAGAAGAAAATACAATTTTTTTTTTCAAAAAAGGAAAAAGGGCCACTGTTTGCAACATTTCATGTCTCATAAGCAGGATTGCTAATACCTTCCCAGGGACCATTACAGCACACTGCTGCATTCCATTAATTGCTCAGCAGATGTTCAGCAGCCTTCTTTTAAAAATGTTTGAGCCAGAATATGTTGCTGGTGAAAGAGGCAATGCATAATTTGGTTTGTCTCCAAGGAAAAAGAACTGTCTCCTTTCAGGAATTTACTATCCTTATTTTGTGTCTCAAATTCAGCTCCCTGTTAAGTTTTATGGGAACACAAGGTAAGCATTTCCAGATACCTGGGTGTCATTAGAGATTGGATTGAGTTCGTTTCCCACCCCCGCTCTCATGGTCTATTGGGGAATTCATTAACTTTGATATCTAAGCTGAGCTAAACTTTGTTTTAGCAGTCCTTGTTTATTCTCAGCCATTCCTCTACTTCTCCATTTCTGTGCAATTACTCTTAAGACCGTACCACTCCTGACAGATATGTTTCTGAAATTCTCTTTGCAGAAAGGAGAGATGTGAAAATGTGTGAGAACGGGGAGAGAATGAGAAGGTGTTGTCGGGAAGTTTGAGGGAGGGCCATGGCCAGGGTGGCTCTCTTTGGCTTTTAGAACCTGGTGGTAGCTGGCATCGATGTTTAGCAGAAAAAGGCTAGGATGTTACAAAACAACCCAGTGAGTTGGAAAAGGGAGTAGACATCTATCAAGCTGGATGTTGGACTGGACACACTGGTGTTTTGACTGACGTGTACCTTTCCTCATTCTACTCCCAACTGGACTATTTCTCCCCCTTCTCCATCTGTCTATACCT